CCTAAGAAATATTAAAAATCTTCATGTTATGTGCATGAAAGAACAATGTTCATCCATGATCCAACCATTTCCAAATTTCATGAACGGTCATATCACTAAAACACGACAAACAAATAAATCGTCAAAAATCATCAAACAATCAATCACACACTACATGTCCTCAAACATGTCCCAAGTGATGATATAATTATAGAAAAATTTATTAGTAATAATAATTGAGCCGAAACTCTTCTACTTATAATACTGGTGCACAAAGGGGTCCGAAGAGCCTTCTCCGCCACCTTTATTCCCCACAAAGTAAGCACCACCCATCTCTGGTGGGCCCAAGTAAACCTGTGGCTGGCTGTGGACCCCACGGTGCTTGTCGAGGAAGACAGAGAGCGGCTGGACATAGGTGGAGAAGCCGAGTGAAGCCATAGCAGAAATGACATCGTCTGGAGTGACAGTCTTGCGGTACTCGCGGTGGCAGCGCTGGTTGGCCTCGCTGGTGACGAAGCCTATGAACTCGGAGACGCACTCTTGGATCGTCTCCTTGGCATCGTCAGCGATCTTGGCGTGGTCGGGAAGGACCCGCCGCATGATACGGATCACGTTTGCAATCGGCATGTACTGGTCTGGGTCCCGCTTGAAAGACTGTTGGGGGCTAGCGGCCAACCTTGTTGTTGCTGCTGCTGCTGTTGTTGTTGCTGCTGCTGCTGCGTTTGCTTGGATCACGTCTGTATGGATATTATATTTTAAATCATTAATTATAGTATTATTTTATCACATTTATTAGAATATTCACTTGTGAGTTGTCCCACATCGTTTATATAAGGAAAATAAACCTAATTTATTAGTTTTATGGGCTACTCCTCCCTCCACCAATTGGTTTTGGAATGGAACCCCATTTGGACTTCATCTGGCTTTCCCTGTTATGGTGCGTTTTATTTGCGTGGGACTGCACCCGTTTTACTCTCGATTTCTTACAACATTCATAAACCTTTTATTGTGTATTTATAATTAGTTAGTATTAGTATTGATTATTATATGATAGAATATTTAAGAAAGGTATTATTATACTTAATTAATGCAGAATGTAATTGTTATTTGAAAAAAAAAATGAATGAAAAAATGGTATGAATTGAGTAGCTTATAATTGTATATACTAGTACTCAATTTTGTACATGCACAAATATAAATAAAATATTATTAGTTATATGGATATTATAATTACAATTATAAATTATACGATGTGCATCACATTTTATAAATTTGATCATTATAAAAAGTTAACAATGTAATTTATAAAATATTTCACTTATATATAAATCAATTAAAAATTATATAAAATATAATTCATAATTTAATTTTTATAAATTTAAAGGAACGGAACTATATATAGTTGAAAATAAATGTTAAATTACAATTTTATAGAAATTATTTGTGCAATTTTAAGGGTTTTTATATTCTATTAAAATTGATTAATTATTTAGAAAATTAATTGATGAGATGGAAACAAAATGATAATATTAGTTTGAAAACGAATACCTTAAAGAAAAAATATTGCTCTAGATTTTTTTATAAGTGTAACTTTCACAAATCTTTTAGTATCATGAATTATAATTATGTAACTTCCATTGTAATTATTAGATAAAATTGTTAAAAATAATATAATTATCCCCTCCTTTATATTAATGAAGAATGTTCCAATCCTAGATGTTAACTTCCTGTGCTTCGTAATCCTATTTGTCAAATTTCGGTGTTTCTTAATTTGTGTGTCAATTTCAGACAATGTATGTAGATCTAGATTCTATTCATACATATTAAAACTTGTAAAATTATAAAATAACTCACAAACATAAATTATAAATATATTTAAAAGTTAATAATTTTTATATTTATTATTTATTTTTTATATATGATATATCAAATCAGTCATATTTTTATGAGCTTGGATTTGGTATCTAGATTGTAAATATAAATAAATATTTTTAATTTTCTTCATTATAAAATTAAATTGTCTATTATTATGTAATACTATTTTAAAAATAATAAAATGATATATCAATTAAAAAGGTTATCTATAAATTGATGACATATGNGCTAGTTCTTGATTAATATAAAATGTAATAAAAAAGTTTCGGAATTAAATGAAACAAAATGGGTAGGTAAATCATATCTCTATATATAATAGTTGACAAAAAAATTATGACAATTATTTTCGTTGTACCGCTCATTTTTCTCGTTACATTTTGCATTGTCATAAAGTCTCATTAAATGATATTATGTTTTAATTTTTTTCTCAAGGTCTTATTTCTTTCCTTTAGCTTGTTAGGAAAGATTTTTCTTTAAAATTTGTTAAATATTTTTAATGGCATAACTAAGACCATTAAAATTCCGTTTACAATAATAATAATTTCGGTATTATCTTATTTAATTAATTGGCCATAATCCACCAAAATTGTAAATTTATATTATTGTAATCAACATGAAGATTAATATGTATGCTAAAAATTTTATATTTATATATGTCATTCATTTTTACTAATGATAAAATTTATTAAATATAATATGTTCATTCTTATTATTTTAAATATTAAATACAAACAGATGATGTATAAAATTTGATTTATATATGTCCATGTGCACATTATTTATTTCAGCATCATTAATTACCCCATTCTTAAATAAGCACCAATTTAAAATATATACATCTTTTTTAAATTTTAATTATTCATCTATTATTTTTTATTAGACATATTTCATATGACATTTACCATAAGTGCTGGAATTGAATCATTAATGTTTCATTATAATTAAAATATTTATAAAGTGATTACAAATGTCAATTAAATTGTTTCTTTAACTATATCGTTGATGTTTCATCATTTAATTGTACAAAACGAACCTTTTGGATAAACAATTTAATCATAAGCTCATTCTTAATTTAGCACCAAATATTATCGAAAATTTTACTTTTGACAAATAGGCAGTGGGAGAAAAAATATTAAGTAAAAAATATAACTTTGTGTGAAATAATATTTATTAGGTATTTAAGAAAAATAACTCTTTGATATTATGTAAAAACAATTTTTCCTGTGAGGCGATGGGCCATCGATTCTCACGGTATTCAATTTTCTTCATCATCATATAGAAAAGGCCAAATATTATTATTATTATTATTATTATTATTATTTTTGTTTTTTTTTTTGTTTGGGCCCTTTTAACGTGTGTTGAAGTTGTTGGCCCTTTGCATAATAGTTTCAACAGTAAACTATTATCATTACATACAAACAAAACAAACCTACTTTATTGCATTTAATTAGTTATTAGTGCAACGACTACCTGCAGTGATTAGTCAAATAAGTTTCAGGACAACAAGAGAATACTAAAAATTATCCTTATTAATTACTCCCTTTTGACTATTATATACACAATTAATCTTAAACAATAATACTACTACATTTGTTTTTTGCTTTTATTAAGATTTAATGTGAACTTTTTGACACTTAAAATTATAAAAACTTCAGTCAACATAAATTATAAATATATATTCAAATTTAATATTTATTTATTATTATCTCATATATGTTGTATCAGTAATTATTTTTGTACGATATTCATTTGATACTCGCATTGAACATATAAAATAAAAAATAATTACATCTACCATTAAAAATAAAAATTAGACCGTCTATTAATTTTAATTAAAAATAATAAAATTATTTATCAAGCTTATTCAATGATATGGGTTAAAAATCTAGTCATTTGAAATAAAAATAATAATGTACTTCATATTTTTTTTTTAAATTATTAGTATTACACGAGTATTGTATTGCTAGGAGTTTATATTGAAGATTGAAATAAACTAGATGCTCAGGAATATAGTGAATTTTATCAATGTTTACACACATATTCAAGATTGAAATAACCGATTGACCAAGCTCTTGTCATTATGCACAACACTGAGTCTAGTTACTGTGGAAAAAAAGAAAAGACAGTGCAACAATGAAGAAAGCAAGAATAGAACATTTAATTAATTATCAGTATGGGGAAGTTTCCAAATTCCGTATGTTTTGTGTCAATTGAAACATTAAATAAATAAAAAAATATTATACGATAACAAAATGAAGCAACTTGTTCTCACAAACTAAATAACATTGTACATATATAATTTTACCCGTTATTGTAATTGCTCTTTTGGGGTAGTTTGGCCTTGTGTTTGAGCTTCCTCCACTTTCCATCTTCAATATCTCTCTATTTTTCCTTCCCTAAGATATATACCAACACTAAGCTATTTCTACCGCTTTACCCCACGAAATGTGTAGCTTGATTTTATAGAAAAGTAAGGGCATTTTTGGATATGAGACAAAATTGATTTTGACCGAGTTATTTTGTTTTATATCTTTTAATTCAAAATTCAACCAAACTCTCTTAAATATTATCAATATAATTGAATAATAATAATAATAATAATAATATCAATCAATCATTATCAGTTTCTCACACATCACATCAACTTAAATTCAATGTTTATTTACTCACATAATTTTAACTATTTATCACATTCAATAATTCTTCTTTTACTTTTTTTCGGTACAAAGAAGGAGGCCGACAGCCTATTAAGCTAAGATTCGACGGGGATACGACACCCCAATAATGTCATGATCAAGCCAAGGAATAAGGCTAGTAGGAGGTGACGTTATCCTCTGCAACCCAACCGGACAAGAAGCCGCCAAGCTCGCCAGGTGGTCAGCTGCAAAATTAGCTTCCCTATGCACATGCAGTATCTTGACGTTCCACTCACGCACAATCAAACGACGAATGGCCTTAACCAAGGTATCATGTGGCCCAAACGAACCGTTTGGGCTCATTACCATTCGCACCACGCATTGACGTTCCACGCATTGACTTTTACACTACATCAACTTTAGTCATAACATTATAAATATTATTTAATACAAACTCAAACTATTCAGTCAATGAACTTTATTTAAAATAACTAACTTTAACCAACCAAATCCAATCAAAATCGGATTCATATCCAACCACTCCCTAAGGATTTCAAATTTGCCATAACATGGCTTGTTACTATTGGTTAACAATTGGGACGAATTGGGTAAAGTTTTTATTAATTAATATGTTTTTATCAATGTTCTAAAAATCGTTGGACGCACGCTAGACGATGGACTAGGGTCCAGTGTCTGGGGGCTAGACGGAGCCTAGGAGGGATCGGGAAAATATTAATAAATTTATTTATATATGTCACCAGACATAAGTTATAAGATATATTATATAAAATATATTAACTATTATAGTTTAATACAAAGATTATGCAAAATCCAATGCATTCATAATTAGTGTATTATCTGTAAAAAAATTATTAATATTTTTATTAATATAATTAATATACATTTTATGTGTAAAAAATAGAATTATTTTTGTTTTTTTTTTAAATAAATTAGAAAAGTTGAAAAAGAATATACAGACGCCTAGACACCGCCAAGACCGCCTAGACTTCTGCCTAAGTCGCCTAGGCACGAGTACTTTCACAACCGCCTAGGCGCCGCTTTATTGTTGGAGCACCTAGAAGGATTGCGTAAGCAAAACACGTGTCGCCTAGCGTCTAGGTGGGTGCCTAGGCCAACTTTTAGCACGTATGTTTTTACTATAAATACTACCACACTGCAGAACTACAAAAAATAGGCGCTAGGCCAACTTTTAGTACGTATGCTTTTACTATAAATACTACCACACTACAGAACTGAAAAAAAAAAAATTATACTACACAAATAAAACACATATATTTTAAAATTATAAAATTAAATAAAGAATATATATAATTATCTATATACATATAGTAATAATATATATATATATAAAGATATTTTTGGAAAAATAAAATATAAAAAATTTGAGTATAAAATTAAATTGTTTAACATTCTAATAAAAGATTTTTTTTAAAAGAAAATTGCATTAAAGAAAAGTATATCCCAATTTATTTAAAAGTTTTTGCCAGACATAATTTGAGACATTTAAGGAAAATTAAAATAAACAATTTGGTAAGGTATCCATGAAAATTTGCAGGTTGTTAACAAGATACACTTAAAATTATTATCATGGATTGTTTGAATAATTAAAAAGTATCCATAAAAAATTTATAGATTGTTAACAAGATATACTTAAAATTATTATCATTGTTTAAAAAAAAAACTAAAAAGTTGAAAATTTGGTTGATATTCATGAAAAACTTCAGGTTTTTCAGAAGATATACTTAAAACTATTATCATTGAGTATTTGAATAATTAAAACCTATTTGTTTTTCCCCTTTTTACTTAACTTAATGACAAAACATTTCATTTATATTTAAGATTTACTACATTTCACAATATCATAGCCGAAATATTTAAATCATATAAATAAATAGCAGCTATTAAGATATTTTTAAATATTTTAAACATCCATAAAATTAAGATAATTTTAAAATAAATCTCACAATCTGATAATATTAAAAATAAGATTTATGCAGTTAAAAAATATTTTTGAAAATTCTATAGACTTTACAATCATATTACAAGATACGTTTGGGTTAATCATTTTTAGCCTCATAAAACAATTATAACAAAAAAAAATATTTAATGATATTACATGAACAAAAATTTTGTATAGTTATACATTTCATATATATATGTATATATGTAAATATATATAATAAAAATGATATATATAAAATAAAAAAGATGAAAGGATAATAGAGAAAAGAAAAACAAAAAATATAATATATTCTATAATTATGATGGTGTGTATCCAAATGCCATGAGATTAAAGATATTTTAACTAACACGATATTAAGGGCTCCGAAGTTAATTTTTTTTAATAAAGGATATTTATTGTTTTTTCAGACGCATGCTAATATATGGATGTTTGAAAACATTTTTATACGCATACATCGTTTCTACAAACACTAAAAATATTCAGTTAACAGAATAAAATATTTTTCCATAAAATTAAAATAAAAAACTGTGATTGTTTGAAGAACTTTATTTGAAACGACTCTTGATTTATATATTGGATAAAGTAGATATGTAGAATGAACAATTCCGACAAAAGAATATTTAGCATTATATTATAAAAATTGAGATAATTTTTTTATTATTTGTGTGCTGATATCTACATCTTTATTTATTTAGGTAGTATGTAACACTTTTGGTTTGGTTTGATTAATTTTTAAAATATGGTATGATTTGTTGTTAAAGGGTATATTAAAATAATATTTTAATAAAATAATTAAAGTTGATTTAATATATAAGTAGGAGAGATACAAGTGGTGATTAGTTAAAATTATGCGAGTGAATGAATAGTGAATTATGGTTGATGTGGTGTGTAAGAATAATTGATTGATATTATTTAGTTATAGGGAAATGCTCACATGCCCACGGTGGACACATGTTAATATGTTCATCGACTTATGTGGCATGCACACATTGGTGATGTATTTTCTTAACATATTAACATCACCAATGTGTGCATGCCACATCAGCGGTGGACATATTAACATGTGTCCACCGTAGGCATGTGAGCATTTCCCTCTAGTTATATTGATAGTATCGATGATAGTGAGGTTGAATTAAAAAAGTAAGTGAGTTAACAATGTTGGGATTTTTTTGAAAATATTTGTATCCAAAGTGATTTGACATTTAATTTTTGACATATTTTCAAGAATAATTGAATAGTGAATACCTTCGGTGCTATATACATATTAATTTTGTAAAGAATTAAATATTTAGGTAAATAA